CCCCCCCCCCTCCCCCGGGGCGGGGAGGAAGGGGTTGACACTTTCTTCTTCCAGATCTAGTTGCATAGTACTTTACAAGAGTTTTCGGGTACATCATTGCATGTAATCATCTTAGGATCCTACTCTTGATCCTACCTCCTAAAGAAAGCAGAGGATTAGAGTGCCAGGAATATTACTTTGGGGGTTACTTCTCTCTTAAGCTACCATTTCTTCATATGTATAATAATACTTTTAAAAGGTTACTGTAAAGATCAAGGGAAAGACTGTCAAGGAGACATAACGATATTGTGATGTGAAACTGCTTTTTAATTCTAAAAGAGCTATGTAAATGCTATTAGTGACAAATAGTGGCACCAACAGAAGCCTACGGTACAGGGTATAAAGAGCAAAGTCTTCGTGAAAAGGTGTGAGGAAGAAAGGCCTTCTGTACCGCCACTTGGAGGCATCCCAAGGTCCTGGTCAGCTAAAGGAGCTTGCACAAAAGCAGTCTTGTTCATTTTTCTAACTGAACTCTCATGCATCTGTAGCAGAGACTTTTATGAACAGAAATTAATTGGCAATTTGGACATTCTGTTATTTCCTGCAGGCTTATTTCTCTTTCTCAATGTTCCTTCCTTTACCTGCCAGCACAGTACGAGGGATGTGATTTTCAAGTTTAGAATAGAAATAAACTACTCTGGTCAGCTTTTCCAGCATCCTATACCAATTTGTTAGCCCTCTCAATGCTACTGAGATTTGTGGGTCTTAATCCTCAAATGGAAACAGCAGTTCTCAAACTCAGAACACCTGGGGCCAAACTCGGCTACTTACGTTTGTTATTATCAGCGATTGGAAACAGAATTGAAACATATTAGGAGTTGGTGACCAGCCCTGTAGATCTCCAGGATCATTGGAGCAAGAATGGTCATTTATGTGTACAGAGACCATACATCGCAGATTTTGGGGGGCAGTTCCTATTTATAATGATCTGCCCCAACAAATGCATTTTGTCAAATCATGACTCCTGATGTTTGTTTAAAAATGTGGTCATGATGTGTGTTGATATAATTAACAGATTATAAAAATGACAAACCTCCTCCAAAATATCTAGCTGTTCCTCTTACTTATCTGTACTTTTATTATTAGTGTTATTAGTATATTACTATTAGCAAAACACAATGGTACCCAGCCAGGTTCATTTTTGCCTGTGGCCCAGAAAGCTGATGAACGAGATTGCAGCAGAGAGAGGATTTAATCATAAGGCAGCCGAGTGAGGAAACGGAAGAACAAGTCTCAAATCCGCCTCCTCAAAAATGGGGACTCAGGGATATTTATAGGGTAGGGGGGCAAGGTAGTCTGAAACGGAGATAGATGATTAGAGGCGAGGAGAGGTGAGGTAATTGATGATCTGCACAAGTGTAGTCAACCTTCATGCCTCTTCATAGGACGCATGTTCACAAAATAGTGGCGTTAGTGTGATCTGAGGGTGGAGTTTTTAGCCTCTTGATGTCAAAAAGGTCACTTGTCCAGCATTTGCACAGGCCCAGTTGATGGGTTGGTGGTCTGAACCAGCCTGAACTGGACAAGGGGTCCTAATTCCTGAAAAACAGCTCAAACATCCATTACAATAGTGACCTGGGTGCCAGGGAGATGTTATCTGTAGGAACCTAGTGGGAGTCAGAGAGTATATTGCCTAAGCAGCACAGTTAATGATGGATGGGTAAACAACTAAAAGCTATAATTAGTAACTGCAAAAAAAAATTTAGTTATTAACTACCTAATCATCACTGGCTAACTGTTTACCAGTTTCACCAACATGTAGAGAGAGCTTTATAGGTTGCAAAGCCCTTTCACACTTCTTTTCTCACTTAATGCTCATAATAACCCTGTGAGAGAAAAGGAGACTGACACAGTCTGAGGTAGGAGTAACCATGTGGCCCTTTCATAAATATCTCAGTGGCAATTCTGCAAGATAGGTTTCATCATTCTGTGTGCAGTTGAGGAAACTAGCCCCGAAAGGTTACGTGCTCCCCCACAGAGGACCTGGGATTGGAGTCCAGCTCTGTGCAAGTCTAAAGCAAATTTCTTCTTACTACAACCAGGCCTAGATGTTGTCCCCATGAAGGTTGCCATAAAAATTCACTCTTATTTGGGTGGTCATTTATCAAAGAAAAGGGGGGTTTGAAACTCATAAAGCTGGCCCTGGAGAGAAGATTTAAAGGATTTTAAGTTTCCTGGGAGGAGCTTGTTAGCAATCCTCCCAAAGTTGCTGAGAAGATGCAGAGGGTGTGGGCCAGGTGTCTAAGTTCAGGGTGAAAATTCAGAGACAAAATGGGCCACGAGGAGTGGAAAGAGTGTGAAAGAGAAGCGCACCTGAGAGGGGTGCATGTTGGAGGGCAGAGGGGGGAGAAAGGCATCAAAAGGAAGGAGTGGATCATTGCTACAGGGGGAGGAGAAGCTAAAGAAAAACTGCCTACCTCACAATTTGCTTAAAGCCAAGCTTGGGTGCCACTAAAAGCCCTTCCATTTCCTTCCCCAAAGAATGGAGGTGAAGAAGAAAAGCAGGGGCCGGCCCTCTGGCATAGCGGTTAAGTGTGCCCGCTCCACTGCTGGAAGCCCGGGTTCGGATCCCAGGCGTACACTGATGCACTGCTTGTCAGGCCATGCTGTGGTGGCATCCCATATAAAGTGGAGGAAGATGGGCATGGATGTTAGCCCAGGGCCAGTCTTCCTCAGCAAAAAAGAGGAGGAT